GTACGTGCGCTCGCCCCTGACGCATCTGCGCTGCGGTATAAAATAAAACCTATTCGTTTTAAAACTAATTAATTTAATCAACAGCATCCGACTTCACAATGGTCGACGATATTTTGCCCTCAGCGCAGTGGGGGCAAGCAGTCTCACCAGTGGTTGATGTTGTTGTGCGAATTCATTTATCTCTGACTGCTGCTTTGTTTGTTTGGCTCTCCGTCTGTGGATGGTAGAAAATTTCACTGCACTGCACAAATAAAAAATGATCGTGCTTTCCATTTAAGATTCGATTTAAAAGCGGAATATATTCAAGGTGGTCGTGCAAAGCCGACGGATATTGGAGCGAGCCCTGGAAACCGATTTATGTACGAAAATATTGATTCAAACTTAAGCTGATAGTAGCGGTTAATCAAGTTATTTAACAATATAACCATATGTAGCTTAACGTGGTGAAGCAAAAACAAATGATGAAATTTAAGCATTTCCCTGGCAAACAAAGTGTTTTTACTTCCTATTTATTGAGTCAACGTTCTTCATAGCATTCCGACTTGCGACTTTCTGAGCTTTGTACAATTTAAGGTCCGCTTTCCATTTCACCTAACGGACAAATGATTCTAAGCAACCGCATTTTTGTTAATCAATTTGCCCGCAATAAACTTGGTAAGAAAATACTTGGCCACCGCTTTGGCGTTCAGACCAAAAAGTATGGTGCTATGGAAGAGTGGGCGGTTCAGCCAAGGAAATCGACTACTGCGCCCCTAAACCAACCTTCAGTAAGCTCTTTAAGACGAGCATCCTGTAAAGAAGAGAGGGGCAAAGACCAAAACCCCGGAGAAGGGGGAATTGGATTTTTTCACGGATGGATCCAAGCTAGACAATAGGGTTCCCAACGTACTTTTCTAAGGATCTAGGACTGGAATTATCTGTCCGAATTACGAACACTGCAACGTTTATCAGGCTATAAGGGAGGTGGCTGTGTACCTTAGTACGCATGCCATAACGAAGACTACGATTAACATCTTTTAATCAAATCAATGAACGCGGTAATGCTAAGATCGAAAATTGCACAGGAATGCCTCGCAGCTCCAAATGATATTAGCGCCGTATTCAAGGTCAGGCTCATATGGGTCCCGAGACATAGAGACATTGAAGGAATTTCAGGGGTAGGTAGGAACTTATTTGGCTCTCTTACGGAACTATCAGGTATAGGAATAAAGTCATACGCTTGATTGTTCTATGAAGAATAGTCACTGAGGTTCCCGTGTTTCGCGGTGATATCAAAATTCACATTCAAGGTCAAGCGAATTGGTTATTTGCACCGACTGCCACACCAACCTAACCTAACCGCATGTTTGAGCGATTTTTCTGCCCGAAATATTTGGGACTGACCTGGGAAGAATCGCAGCGAACCGTTCTAATAGCATTTGGTAGGTACTGGCCCCGCCCATCTTCCAAACAATATAGCTGTATAATTGTTGCATAATTTGATCATTTTTGAGTTGATAATTAACCCTCAACTGAAATCGTTAGGTCCATTTGAAACACACCACTCGATACCACCAGCGTGAAAAAATAACTATATCAGTAAAGGTTTTTGTGTTATTTTTTTGAAGTTGATTCTTTTTTTAACTTCATCTTAACATTTTCACAAGAAACAATTAAACGAAAGGATTCGGAACATACTGTACATACATATCGCTAGTATAGTGTGGAGAGGACATAACTCACATCGTCGCTGAAATACAAAAAGCCGAAACTAACTAAAAAGTACAAAAATTCACTTCTTGATTGAAAAATATAAATCGAATTATAAGTCCCCAGATAGTTTTATACAATTAAAAATGTTAGTTAGTTATGGCTTTTTTTGCGTTTAAGCAACGATGTTAGATACGTCCTTTCCATACTATACTAACGATATGTATGTATGTATACATACCCGCACCTCATTCAGTAACTCATTAACTATTGTTGTTGTAACATTCGTTCCCCACATATTTCTGCAAGTTGTGGTGACGTTGATGAAATGTAATATTGCCATTGTGCGATGAAATGTTTGAGCAAATGAGAATGAGTGTGAAGTTGCAAAGCTTACAAGGACATTCAGGATCCACAGGTTTAGTTAGAAATGGAATATGAACGAAGAGAGAATTTTGATTAAATGTACTTAATTAGTTTTCACGTTAATAGAGGACATGGAAAACGAAACTCACTACCGTTTTTGCGGTTGAAAGCAGCTAGCAACAAAATCATTCACTGGCTGCTTTTAAATTTGGTTACATGCACAGCTGTTACCTACCAATTTTGCCAAGGCATATAAAACTTCGTTTATGGTTTGCAAAGATATTCTTGGAATTTGTAAAACTGCTAAAAAAAAAAGTTGGCGAATACAAAGGAAAACGTTGCATAACCCTAGGCGGAAGAAGACTTCGGCAAATTACAAGAAATGCTATAGAAACGAGAAAGTAAACCATGCACTGCCGCCCTATTTTCAATTTAGTAGCGAGTATACGACAAAATGAAATATACATACATACAATAATATCAGAAAACTATGCCGGTAAACACAAAAGCAGGAGAAACTAATAGGGAACATAGTTGAACTGCAAACAAGCCTTGAAAACAGGCTGAGCCCATTTAAGTCGATGCAGCAGCAGCCTCCGTACGTCGTTTTTTTGTTTTTATTACTACAGAGAAGACTGCAAGCTCTAAGAAGTGCGCACAGACACACACACACACACAATTACATGTACGATATACCATGTATGCTAACAGGGAAGCTAATATACAAGTAAACAGTAACGAAGCGAACGAAATCGACAACAATAGCAGCGGTGCAGCGGCGGCGCCCACGGCAGCGGCGCCCACGGCAGCGGCAGCAGCAGCAAGGCATGAAAAGAATGTAGAACAAATCCTGCGCAGCAACAGCAGCAGCAAGAAAAAACATTGAAAAATGAAAACAAGAAAGTTTAAGGAAAACCACAATAGACGTTGACCAATTGCGGAAGCAGAATGTGCAGCGGCACACCGAAGCAAGGCATGCCAGAGCGCGTGCGAGGGAGGGTACGCGGACAACAATGTGGCTGTGACGCGTGTGAGTGTGACTTGGCATTTCGCTGGATTTTTTCTTTTTATTTCTGCAGATTTCTATTTTTTCGCTTCTTCTTTTACTGGTCGTACATGATCCAGTCAAGCGAAGAAAAAATACTGAACAATAGTCACTTTTCTCACCAAGAATTCTATGTTGTTTCCCTCTCTTGCGTTTCAAAGTTTCCCACTCGGTGACTTTTTTTGCGACATAGCTTTAATTTCCTTTTCAAATGTCACACGTTGCTAACTTTTGCCAGCAAGCATTTTTTTTAGTAATTTTTCTGGCCGCTGCTTGTTGCTGCCGCCTGCCATGCTACCAAGACTTGAAATGCTATATCCTAAAGTAAGCTTTTTCTAATAAGAAATTTCTTTGGCGGCAAATAGGTTTCTCTTTGCCATCAATTTCGTCTCTTTTTTAATACTTTTTCCAACTTAATTTTAAAAGTAAAGCATTTTTTTTTTGCTCAGAATTTCATTCGCTTTTACTTGTGCAACACACAGCCGTCTTGAGTGAGTACTCGTGTCAATTTTACTCAATTAATGTTCGAACTAAGTTTCTGGCGTTTTGTTGAAAAAGTCCTTTGTAAAAGAAACTTGGCACGTCTTTTGTTTATGGGTTTTTAATTACAAAATAAGTATGTACGCTGGTAAAAAAAAACCTTAGCTAATATTAGCTGATTGCACGTAAATATTTAAATCGTAGTGCATATTTAGATTACCATAAAATTCAAATTCTTTAAATGTCTTCTTCACATGCAATTTTGTATTTATTGCCGAAACCAAACTTTCGCGAGACATGAAAATTCCGTGGAATGAAAAATTGCATAGTTTTAGGCACGACTTGTGAATTCCTAAACACAATAAGAACGATTTACTTTATCAGCCTCAAAATATGTTACATATTATGGCCTGATATTTAGTGACTCTATGTGAAAATGACTTGACTTTGAAATAAATAATAAGGTCCTTAAGCGAATAAATAAATGCCCACAAAACTCCACAACTCAACACTACAATTCTAGCATGGCAATTCTGGAAATTGTCTTTCAACTCACCATAGTCTTTCGAAAGACAAAAGTCTTTAAGACAAATGTCAATTCTGGCAACTATCTCGAAAGCTCTTTACTGTCTTTCGAAAGCCTAATTGAGGTCTTACTTAGCCTTATGCTCTCCGCCTTTTAGCAATAAGTTTTTTAAAATTAAATTAAATTAAAAAAATATATATATTTTTCCTTTTAAAACAATAAAAACTAATAAGTAAAATTTTATTTAATAAAAACATAATGTTTAAAGAAAATAAAATAAAATATATACTACTATATAAAAAATATATATTATGAATTTAATAAATATTTTTTCTTTTTAAAACAATAAAATGCAAAAAACTAAATCAAGAAAAAAAAAATAGTACTTAAAAATTAAAAAAATTATATACATATTTTTCAAAAATCTAAAAATTAAAAGAAAATTTAATTAAGAAGAAGAAATAAACAAAATAAGTTTACATTATATTAAAACAAATAGTTTTTTTTTAAAGGATAAAATCCAAGAATTAAAAGAAATTTAACTAAAAAAAAAATAATTAATAAATAAGATGAAAAGCAAGTAAGTTCCTAAAAATTAACAAAAGTCGTTCGAACTATCTTGCAATTTGTCGTTTATTTGTCTTACGAAAGACTTTTTCTATCTTCCAGTTTAGGAATGTCGCAAAATATTCTAGAAAAGCGACTAAAATAGATATGTATTTTTTTTTTACAAAGCCACGGAAGCGGAGTTTTATAGGGTTCAGCGGCCCAGTGAATCATAAAGTTGAGTCTTACTAAAACTCACTTGTTTTACAAAACCAACTATAGGAAAAATAGCTGTTTAAAAGTAATATAAACTAGATACATATGTGCTGGTAAACGAGCCACACTCACCGATAAAGCTTTTTCGCTTGTTGATCGTGGCGGTTATCTGCGCTGACACACCGAAATCCGCCAGCTTGACGTCGCCCTGTTCGGTCAGCAGGATGTTGGCGCCCTTGATATCACGATGCATCTTGCCCATCGTATGCAGGTACTCGAGTCCTTTCAAAGTTTCACGGCACATGTAGGCGATCTGTTGTTCGGCCAGCGGCCCCGTCACCTGGTAGATGTCCTGCAGACTGCCACCACCACAATACTCCATACATATCCACAATTTGTCGCGTCGCAAATACGAACCATAGTATGTGATGATGTTTTTATGCCGACAATCGCGCATCATAATAATCTCCTGCTGGATGATCTGTATGTCATCGGTGGGCTCGAGTTTGATGACTTTGATGGCGGCCAATTCATTGCTCTGTATGCGCTTCGCCTGTGACACGAGAAAGAGAACAAAAAGCGAGACAATAAATATTAGAGGTGTGTTAAGAAGGTGGGTGATAAATGCCAAAGATAATGGATGCAAATTGCGCTTATTATTATTCAAATGATTTTTCAAACAATACGAAGTGGCAATTGGCGCTGGCGCTAGGCAAACACTTTCGATCGAAGAATAACACACACAGAGGCAAAGGCAAAAAGGTTCAGAAGATTGCCATTTACTCGATTGATTGCCAAAGAGTATTACAGCATTAGCGAATGGGAGTGAATGCGAAGCAGGAAAGCGAGGGTGTGCCAAGTGGCTGATGGGTGTGCCAATAAATTTTCAATTCTTTTCGCTTTCACTTGACGCATAATAAGGCACTAAGCGAGCGCGGTTAGGTGCAGGCATAGAAAAAAATTGATTTCCATTTTATTATTACGGCAACGACACACACACACACACGCACACACGCACACACATGCACAATCATGCATACAATGGCACTGCACTCACACAAACGCCCGCATACTTTGTGGAAGCAAATTGACTGGCTTTTTTTTTNATGTGATGATGTTTTTATGCCGACAATCGCGCATCATAATAATCTCCTGCTGGATGATCTGTATGTCATCGGTGGGCTCGAGTTTGATGACTTTGATGGCGGCCAATTCATTGCTCTGTATGCGCTTCGCCTGTGACACGAGAAAGAGAACAAAAAGCGAGACAATAAATATTAGAGGTGTGTTAAGAAGGTGGGTGATAAATGCCAAAGATAATGGATGCAAATTGCGCTTATTATTATTCAAATGATTTTTCAAACAATACGAAGTGGCAATTGGCGCTGGCGCTAGGCAAACACTTTCGATCGAAGAATAACACACACAGAGGCAAAGGCAAAAAGGTTCAGAAGATTGCCATTTACTCGATTGATTGCCAAAGAGTATTACAGCATTAGCGAATGGGAGTGAATGCGAAGCAGGAAAGCGAGGGTGTGCCAAGTGGCTGATGGGTGTGCCAATAAATTTTCAATTCTTTTCGCTTTCACTTGACGCATAATAAGGCACTAAGCGAGCGCGGTTAGGTGCAGGCATAGAAAAAAATTGATTTCCATTTTATTATTACGGCAACGACACACACACACACACGCACACACGCACACACATGCACAATCATGCATACAATGGCACTGCACTCACACAAACGCCCGCATACTTTGTGGAAGCAAATTGACTGGCTTTTTTTTTGCAATTCCTCACCCATGTTTTTTCTACTATCAATGCAATATCCACTTCCAAGCCACGTTGTAGCCTTCGTACTGCTGCACCCACACTTCTGCATACTTTGTGTGGCTGCTGCCATTTTATGTTGTATGCAAATATTTGAATTTTCAATAAATTTCACTGCTGCACTTGATGCTGCTGCTGCTGCTGCTGCTACTGCTGCTTCCTTTGTTGCAAATGGAAATGGCAAACTTGGCTAAAAAGCACACGCCGAAGAAGGGTTGCCGAGGACGGCAAGTGGTGCGAGTTGAATTCAATTTAGTTGGAGAAAGGAATTGCTAAGAGCGGTAAGCAGTTAGTTCTGTTGATTGCTCGTTGGTTGGAGATAGTTGAAGTTTAAGTAAATCCATTAAATGCCATTCTGTTGGCTATTCGATTGGCAGATCAAGAATACCTTGGAGGATGCGTGCAGCAGCAATGGACGGTCGGTGCAGTAAATTGGGGAAGTAAATGGGTTGGAAAATAAATCTGTTAGGGGAAAGCGAAAGATAGCAGTTAATGGAGGGAATTTAAAAGAGAGATTTATAAATATTGGGAAATTATTATCGAGTAAGAATGTCAAACAAAAGACTCTTTTCAAGAACGCTTTAATTGTATGGAAGAGAAAAAAAGAGAGCCATTACTTTTTGCTTTTTGATGAAGGTTACAAAATAAGTGATTTAGCTTTTGCTAGAAGATCAACTTATGAACTATTATCTAATATATACACTTTCGAAGGACTTGTGCCATAAGTAAAGCCATAGTTTTCAGTTTCATTCAGCACAAATATTTATTTTGCGATTTAAAATGCCTCAACCTTTGCGGCAGCAGACAGATACTCAAATATATGCTCGCAGAAAGGTAAATCAAATTACCACTCGATTTCTGCCGCCAACTCGAGATTTACCAACACTGCTGAAATTTCCCACAACACAGAAAACTGGCCCATCACCGAAATTCCACAAACTCAGCGCTGCGTTTAATAACAGGAGAACAACTTACGCCACCTCTTAACGTAAGTCGCTTCTCAACTTTCCGGGAAAAAACGCACAAAAAATCAAATCAAAAACCAGTAAACAAGTGCAATGAGGCGTCACGAAAGGATACCTGCCTGTTATTCAACCTCAGTATGCACCGAACGTGGAAAACACGCAGCAGATCGGATGTGAAAGGCAATGCAGCTGAGCAGGTGAAAGGATAAGGCGGATAGGCTGCAGTGGAGAGGAGTGGAGTATTGCGGTTGCGAGATGAAATTGAATTGTTGATGTAGTATGTATGTATGTATGTATGTATGTATGTACATATGTAGCTCGGTAAGTATTCCAATCGTATAGTCAGCCGTATTTGTCATGTTTACAGGTCAGTGCGTTTTTCAATTTGCATTTGGCTGCATATTTCGTTAGATTCACAATCGAATGCATTTATTTCGACCAAAATGTGGTTTTATCAAAATCAATCTTGTTGCTTCGTTCAAGGCGCGCCGCGTGCGGAGTGCCGAGAACGCGCTGTTCAGCAGACGAGAAAACTCCAATTTCAGTGAAATGCTATAAAACTCATTTATGTGCACTTAAATGAAATTCTTCAAATCAAATCGTGTTTTTTTGGCTTTTTTTTTTTTGTTTTTTATTTATTTTTTTTTTGGTTGTTTACATTCCCAATTTTAAGAAATGATAGAGGTGCATTCGCGGAATGGAGGTAGCGGAGTTTTCGATTTATTTTAAACGCGCTGCCATAAAATACGGTAGGGTGTACGCTATTTTAACTACTACTTTTATTTTTTTTTTTAGAAATTGTAAACGTGGTAAAGAAACTGAACATTTTACTACTGATAATTTGCAATTCTGCACCTTGCTGGAAATAAAAACAACTCTTTAACGCAGACTCAGGTATTTTTGATGCCTTAAGCTGTACGCGTGTTCACTTCCTCGCTACGTGATATTAAAACGCTTCAGATAAGCTGATTTAGTTTGGAAACAAATTGCAAATTGTGAGTCGGTGTAAAAATATCTAAGCATTTTTGATATGATATTTCGATAAGCATAGTGACAACGGTACGCAAAACTAGCTTAGATAATGATATTGAGAAACATATCGATAATACTACAATGATATGGAATATAATAAATATTCAAGAATAATATTAATTATTTTACATCAAAGCCTGCCGAGTGAATGCTAAAGCCTCGACCCCGATAGGACCTGGGCTAGTTCTTGCCGAAAGTCCCAACACCACAAAGCAAATTTTTTGAGAGGAAAATACCAAACTGAGGGTACATTCTGAAGAGATATAGGCTACTCATTGATCTCCCCAAGGAGAAACTTAGAATCATTTCAGGTATTTTGAAGGCTAAGAGGTCAACTGCATTATTTAGGAATCTGGTCCAGTGACCTGTGCCGCTTTTGCGACGCTGCCAAAGATACTCCTTTACAAGTTCTTATAAAGTGTGAGGCCGTAGCACGTAGGAGGGAGAGGAGGTAATAGAACCCCTGTGGCCAAGTGCGAAGCACATACACTCTATATCCCTGGGATCTATCATGAAATTTTATAAGTTTCATTTACAGAGCCTCTAGGGCTATTCGAGGTGTAGTGATGAGCTAAGGGCGCAATAGACCTACCGGTAGCAGTGCTACAATTAACTATCTATCTATCTACATACATACACATGCGCATGATTTCTGTGGTCGAAGGGGCAACGCTTAAAATCAAACTGCTTTGTGTGGTAACTACAAATTGGACTACATATTGTAATCCACAAAGAGCCATTTGCATACATACTTGCATAATAACGAACCTTGCCGGTTCGATGACGTTAAATTGTATTATTTGGCACAGGTAAGCAAAACTCTATAATGAGCAGCATAACGTAAAACCGATTACGTGCACACAAACACACACACGCACGCATTTATATCACTGCATGTTCAGATACAAACAAAATAGGGTCGGCCATGGGTCAACTGGTCAACTGTACTGTGCGGTGAATTGTGTTTGACAACACCTCAGCATATTCACTTACAGTAAATAAGAGTATCTAATCTGCAGGGTAACAAGCAATACCCTCAGCGTGCTCTCTGCCACACGCCCGATATGCTGAACCGAAATGGCGCTGCTTTATTCGACATCTAAGCTCCAGTCCGTGATTGCAGGATATATCTCGCGCACACACACACACACACACACACATGCAGATCGGTGCCAGACATTCGTTTACTAAACTCACACTCCTCCATGCAAGTAGCGAGCGGCAATCAGGTTGTTATGGGTGGGCGAGCGAATTTATGTGGAGGTTGGTTGCTCCGTCCTTCCTGGCCATCCAGCATTGGGTTATCGCCGGCCGACTGGCAGTAAAATCATACGGTCAATTGGTTCAACGTCGTTACCAATCGCTGGCACTGCTGCTGGCAATATGCTGGCTGCGTTGCAAGCGGCAGGAACACAGCGTCAATATTCGCTTAAGGCATACTTGTGTTCTTTGTAGCCTGATTTCCTGGTTGTTGTTTTCTGTCAATATTTTACCTTGTTTATATGGGTGTATGTAGAGAAAGATGCGTGTACATATATATATAAAATATTTCAACTTTCTTAATGCATTTTCTTATCTTTAATTCTCGGCGTGCGGTTTCACTGCTTAAGCTGTGAGAGCAAGCGAATATAAGTTTTATATGCAGTAACTAATGAATGGGGAATAAAAACATTGCCCCATTCATTTTTTTTCGATATAAGTATTTATTTTCAGTGCAGCTAGTAGCATATTTTTAATTTACTATAGGAGAATACCCCTAATGTGAATTCTTGAATGTATTATAATTCATTGGCGGATCATAGGCTTGGAGCCTGTTTGGAAATTATAGTTCTAGCTTAATTCTAGCTCCAAGCTAGGAAAATATGGACGATTACTTTTATAAATTTTGAGCGGATCGAAATACCTGTCGGTAGGTGGGTCTGGTTGAAAGCATACACCATTTTTTTTTTACACTGACAAAAAAAAAGTCTTCCTTATTGCGTTTGCTAAATACTTTACTCGCACAGCTCCATAAGAATGGTTTTCTGCCATTTAGTGCTCATCTTCCTTGACCTCCTTCCCCTTGACTTTCCAATGAATTCATGGTCTAACCAGTATTTTTTTTTTTTGTTTTGTGCTTAAGAAATCTTTAACTCCTTCGAATCCTGTCTTTATTATCACTGGCTTGCGCGGATAATGATGATAAACTGTTTTCTTTAATGGTCTTCCTTCAGCTATTTGGCTCGCCACTAGTCTACGCTTTTTATTATTGCAAATATCCATGTACACACATACGTGTATGTGTCTGTGTCTGTGTCTGTGTATTTGTGTGTATTAAGCATGCTGTGTACCCTTTAAACTTCTGCTCCTGCTCTTGCTTTATTTTGTATTGTTGGCAGCTTGCAATTTTGCTGTTTATGCACTTTCCAG